CAAGTAATATTAACAGAACGAGGGGACATGGGTGGAAGCTGGAAACTCAGATGAGTCACAGAGATGTTAGGAAGTTTTCTTTTAGCGTGAGAGTAGTGGGAAAATGGAATGCACTTAAGGAACAGGTTGTGGAAGCAAATACTATTCATAATTTTAAAACTAGATGTGATAAGGAAATGGGACAGGAGTCATTGCTGTAAACAACCGATGGCTAGAAAGACGGGATCCAAGAGTCAATGCTCGATCCTGCAGACACAAATAGGTGAGTATAAATAGGTGAGTTCACACACACACACACAGTTGAGACTGGTGTGAAAAGTCAGTCTGATAGGTTGCAGGTCTGGTGGAGTCACCTGAGTGTAGGAACTACCCTATGCGGGTACTAACCTGTGCGGGTACTAACCTGTGTGGGGACGGTCTGCATCCACATTCGCTTGGGCAGCATGAGGTGTCCACTCTGAGGTATCTTGCGCCGCAGGAGCCGGCTAGCTGCGGAGAGATTACTGGTGTTATCCTCCATGTTGCCCAGTACACCTCCTACACTCTCCTCCACTACACCACACTGAAACTCTTATCTCTTCCACGCTAATATGTACTGCCACCAACCCTACCTCCCCCCCCCATCCCCCACATCCCCCCCCCATCCCCCACATCCACCTCCCCCTCCCCCCCCCTGTTTTAATTAGTGTCCACTCAGCTTGACTACCGGTTGAATGGTTACCTCTAACTCACATGTGGCCAGAAATGTTGTGTTTATTTTTTGCACAATATATGATTCGTATTGCACAGGCTCAAGATGTTGAATTTTACTACATTTATGAAAGGTTATGATCGGTACTGACTGGTAATTATGGCAACCCCTTACTGATAAGTATCTTGGTGCTCTCTTTCTCTCTCTCTCTCTCTCTCTCTCTCTCTCTCTCTCTCTCTCTCTCTCTCTCTCTCTCTCCCCTCCCACAACATCTCTCTTACCCCTCTGAAGATGGGGTGCAGCTGTAACCCTTCCACTACCACCACCACCCGCAGGCTGGGTGCAGCTGTAACCCTTCCACTACCACCACCACCCGCAGGCTGGGTGCAGCTGTAACCCTTCCACTACCACCACCACCCGCAGGCTTGGTGCAGCTGTAACCCTTCCACTACCACCACCACCCGCAGGCTGGGTGCAGCTGTAACCCTTCCACTACCACCACCACCCGCAGGCTGGGTGCAGCTGTAACCCTTCCACTACCACCACCACCCGATGACCACAATATGGGACCTCGTAGCCTGGTGGATAGCGCGCAGGACTCGTAATTCTGTGGCGCGGGTTCGATTCCCGCACGAGGCAGAAACAAATGGGCAAAGTTTCTTTCACCCTGAATGCCCCTGTTACCTAGCAGTAAATAGGTACCTGGGAGTTAGTCAGCTGTCACGGGCTGCTTCCTGGGGTGTGTGTGTGTGTGTGTGTGTGGGTGTGGAGAGAGAGAAAAAAAAAAAAAAAAAAAAGTAGTTAGTAAACAGTTGATTGACAGTTGAGAGGCGGGCCGAAAGAGCAAAGCTCAACCCCCGTAAAACACAACTAGTAAACACAATATAGAGGCTGGAGGCCTCCGTCCGAGACGCCCCACCACCGCCACACGGCGCTGACTCTAACCTCTACGTGTAATACTCCAAGAATCAACTCTCCATAAAATATTCACTTCTCCCGTCATCCCGGGTATATATACCTCCCTGTTGAGTACCTCGGTCAGACGCACGTCCCTGTGTTTCACTACCCTGTTGGTGCTGGCACAAGACGGTCACGTCTGTAGAGTTATGCTGACTGTTCACGTGAAGGAATCTTTGGCTGCCTTTATATGTTTAGAGATTTGTTCATCGATTGTTGACTTGTTGATCGAGTATGTTGCCGGCTGTGGCTGAGTATGTTGCCAGGAACTGTGGCTGAGTATGTTGCCAGCTGTGACCGAGTATGTTGCCAGCTATGACCGAGTATGTTGCCAGGAACTGTGGCCGAGTATGTTGCCAGCTGTGACCGAGTATGTTGCCAGCTATGACCGAGTATGTTGCCAGGAACTGTGGCCGAGTATGTTGCCAGGAACTGTGGCCGAGTATGTTGCCAGGAACTGTGGCCGAGTATGTTGCCAGGAACTGTGGCCGAGTATGTTGCCAGGAACTGTGGCCGAGTATGTTGCCAGGAGCTGTGACCGAGTATGTTGCCAGGAGCTGTGACCGAGTATGTTGCCAGGAGCTGTGACCGAGTATGTTGCCAGGAGCTGTGACCGAGTATGTTGCCAGGAGCTGTGACCGAGTATGTTGCCAGGAGCTGTGACCGAGTATGTTGCCAGGAGCTGTGACCGAGTATGTTGCCAGGAGTGCGTCACATAGAGGGCAGTAGAGGCAACACATTTTAGGGTGAGCAGACACAGACACAAACAGACAGACAGACAGACAGACAGACAGACAGACAGACAGACAGACAGACAGAGTCGAACGGTGTTCTAGACATTGATGATGCTGTCACCCGCTTCACGTCCTCCACCACCACTTTATTAGATCACCCACCCGTCACCCAGCCGTCACCCAGCCGTCACCCACCCGTCACCCACCCGTCACCCACCCGTCACCCCACCCGTCACCCCACCCGTCACCCACCCGTCACCCCACCCGTCACCCCACCCGTCACCCACCCGTCACCCACCCGTCACCCCACCCGTCACCCACCCGTCACCCCAGGCGTCACCCACCCGTCACCCCAGCCGTCACCCACCCGTCACCCAGCCGTCACCCAGCCGTCACCCAGCCGTCACCCCACCCGTCACCCCACCCGTCACCCCACCCGTCACCCACCCGTCACCCACCCGTCACCCCACCCGTCACCCATCCGTCACCCCAGCCGTCACTCAGCCGTCACCCACCCGTCACCCACCCGTCACCCCAGCCGTCACCCACCCGTCACCCCAGCCGTCACCCACCCGTCACCCAGCCGTTCCACTGTGGAGTCTCGCGGAAGAAAATGGCCCAAGGAACATATTGAGTCTGGGGCCATGGAGCTAGAGCCTTTTAATTAGTAAAATGCTTCTGGACTCTCTTTCCCAGTTAAGAAAAATAATGTTTACCTCATTTTAAAACTTTGAAAGTTTTTGCTCTTATGATGAAAACTTAAAAGTTTCATTCTCGAATTTCATTCTCTGAGAGTTTCATTCAGTGTGTTTCATTCACTGATTAGCGTTCATTCTCGAATTTTCCTGAAGATTATCACTTTAGGAAATCAAAGATGTCATATTTTAAAAGAAAAAAGTATTTAAAAGGAATCTTTACTTCTGTTTTATAGCAAAAAAATAAGTTTTTAAGGTCAATAAATGTGGCCCTTTGCGCGCTCAGTCCTCATTGGCGCCAAATTGAGTTGTTTCTCATCAAGGTCAGCGATCGTTAGTGGTGAAGAGTTGGCAGTTCCCGCTGACGCTGGGGGGGGGATGCACTCAGCAGGTACGTACACTCAGCAGGACGAGTGATGGACTCGGGTACTCAGCCAGCGGAGTGTTGTTTGGGCGGCGGCCTTGGATGCGGCAGCAGAACGAGGCACTAAACACCGGAATGTGCAAATATTTGATGCAATTCCACGAAATGGCTTGTAACCCCCCGTTTGGGTCCGTGGTGATTACACCGTGTCTCCCGGTGCCCTGGGTACGGGTCCCCCGGTGCCCTGGGTACGTGTCCCCCGGTTCCCTGGGGTACGTGTCCCCCGGTGCCCTGGGGTACGTGTCCCCCGGTGCCCTGGGGTACGTGTCCCCCGGTGCCCTGGGTACGTGTCCCGCGGTGCCCTGGGTACGTGTCCCCGTCTGTCAGTCAGAGCATATGTATAGCTCTCGCACCAGAATGTTGACATGGAGAGGGGGCTCAAACGGATGTGTACAGAGAGGGCTCAGGCAGTGACCGCTTTACAGTAGTCCGGTACTCTAAGCATACCGGGATGTGTGGCAGGCCAGCACAGGTTTTTCCCTTGACGAGTTGTATGGACGGACGGCCAAGGGGCGTCTCCAGGTGTTGAGGAATTTGTGGGATGAGGAAGATTGCTCTCCTGAAACCAGAAGCACATACCAGCATGTTCTTGATCTGAAGGACCGCCTGGATGGACCTGTCACTCGACCAGTAAGGAACATCATCTTCAGGATACAGACTTGGGCTGGACTGTCTCGCCTCATGCAGGTCGGCGTTCAATCCCCCCCCCCCGACCGTCCAAGTGATTGGGCACCATTCCTTTCCCCCAATCCCATCCCAAATTCTTATCCTGACCAAATTTGCTCTGTGGGAGCCGGTCGGCCGAGCGGACAGCACGCTGGACATGTGATCCTGGGTTCGATCCCAGACACCGACGAGAAACAATGGGCAGAGTTTTTCACCCTATGCCCCTGTTACCTAGCAGTAAAATAGATACTTGGGTGTTAGTCAGCTGTCACGGGCTGCTTCCTGGGGTTGGAGGCCTGGTCGAGGACCGGGCCGCGGGGATACTAAAAAGCCCCGAAATCATCTCAAGATAACCTCTCAAGATAACCCTTTCCAAGTGCTATATAGACGCAATGGCTTGGCGCCATATCGTGATAGGCCCCTTCCCTTCAGGGTAGAGATAATGTGTTGCTGCTACTGGCGACGAGCAAGAGTAAACTCTTCTTCAGTGGAAAAGTCAACTTGTGGTAGTGGAATGCTGCCACTCCCTCCAGTGTGTGGTGGATTAAAAAGAGTAGGACACGAGTGCCACATCAACAACGTGTTGAAGACGTCTGAGGACCCAGCTCAAGAGTCCCAGCAAGGGGAGGAGGAAGGAAAGTCACGAGTGATCTTGGGCACCGATGCTGGTATTGATTGTTGGAGAGATAAGGATAAGTGCCTAACACACACACAAGATGTAATTCTGTAGGAAATGGTGTTGTGAGCAGTGTATGGTGAGGCGCGGCACCACTCCACGTCCTACCATGTACCGTGGCTAAGATACGGTGGTCCTATTGCAGGAATCTCTGAAAGAGAGGACGTGTCTTATCGACAAGTGACACAGGCAATCGTGGGAAGAGAATTCCCTCAACTGGAAGTGTGGAAGACGCGTGATTCCACTGGTCCGGGCTCACGGCCATCTCGGCTGACTGTTGCATTACTACTGAATTGTGAGCACAACATTTTCAACAGGAGAGTGATGAGCGGATACAGTGTGTCCGACATGAGAGGGGAGGGGGGGATACGTAAAAGTTGGGTGGATTTCTCGGGTGTGTGCACACCCGAGATGAGGTGATGCTGTGCACCTGATGGGCACAGCATCACCTTATCAACCTCACCTGCACCTGATGTGCACTGGGCAGTAACTAGATAAATTCATGTCGAATTTCCATTAAGTATGATATCCTTGCATAGCTGACATCACCTAGAGTCTGTGATGACCTATGTACGATATCAGGTTGTGTTATAAGGTTAAGGAAACCCTCTTGAGCCTGGAGATAGCTGATGAGTAATGCTGCCATCTTGGATGGAGCAACAGTGGACTCCACGAGGTGCAACCTGTAATTAGGTTGTGCCTAACGAGCTTTAAGAGCCAAGTCTAGAATCTGGGTCAACT